CTTTGCTGATAATTTCCTTTCTGCTGTCTTTGCTGATTATTTCCTTTCTGCAGTCTGAGCAAGGGTAAGGTTTCAGAGGGCTTGAGTGAATTCACCACCTGAAGAGAGGCTTGAGCTATCACTGGTTGCCTCAGATGAAAGGGAAGTAAGAGAAAAAAGCAGAGAGGGTGATGAAACCTCAGCAGAAATTTCCTTCATTAGCTGTTCATGGGAACTAACACAGCCTTGGGCTGTCCTGCAGGGATATTCACTTATGCCCTGCCTCCATGGCATTGCAGGGTAGAAAACCCTTTGGTCTATAGAGGAAGATTCTGTGATATGAAATTGGACAATTCCTGTGCCAAAATGCCCTGCTCTTTACACTGGTACTGACAGCTGCATTTTGGCCTGTTAACTGCAAGGAGATCACAGCAATTGCCTTTTTCCAGCTCTTCCCTGTGCCATTTCTGCACCCAGGAAAATTCCACCTGGATTTTATGAGTGTTCTCCATCATTCAGAGAGAATCTTACAGAGTCACAGTGCAGATCCCAGACCTTTGCAGGGCCCAGTCTAACTCACAGCAGTGTAAAAAGACAAAACCAGCACAGGAAGTTTCTACACTTCAAAGATGGCTTGGCCAAACCTGTCTCTGCAATTTGTTTGTTCTGAAGGTCAAAAAACCTAGGCTGAATGGTATTTGCATATTTTCTGGCCCTAAACCCAGCTGACCTACAAGTATAAAACAAAATCAATGAAAGAGTTACTTGCAGGACATTTTGCTTTCTAGATTGCTTCAAGAATAAGAAAACATTTCTTCCAAGGGAGACAGATGGTTTGATTCTTCCTTCACTCTTCCTTCCTACTTCCCTTCCTCCAGCTATGATCATTATTTTCAAGGTGGCTCAGTCTTTTGAGGGGCAGCAAGGTGGTTTTTTTGGCCATGTCCCTCATATCTGAACAATGAAAATTAAGTATGGGTCAAATGCAAGGCTTTTTTTACAGGATAAATGTACAAAAATTGACTCACACATGCCAAAAAGTCTAGGACAGAGCAGCTCATAAATTTCTTTCATTTCAGAATTTAATGTTAAAGTCATTAATAAGAAGGAAAAATATTACTGGAGAAGTCCAAAACAGTCTGGTTTGTCAATCCAGAGGTGGCTACTGCCCTGGTCTGTTTGTAGTGACAGGGGAGGTTGCAGCAGAACCAGGGTTGTGAGATGAGCACTGCAGTGGTTGGAGCTGGGGTGAAGCCCTCGTGCCTCTCCCTGACCGTGCATTGGGCACCAACACTTGAAACATTGGCAAGAACATCGTGGGAGCTGGAGATTGAGAGGAAATTTTCAGAAAATGGGGGAAGGAAGGAATGAGAAGTGAAGCTGGGGCACCAGCAACTGGTAGAAAAAATGGACAGAGAGAAATCAGTGGTAGTTCTCTGGGCAGAAAGTTTGCCAGGCAGAAGAGTACCAGAGGACAGGGAGGGAATGGGGCCTGCAGAGGTGCAGAATGGGACTGGAAAGCATTTGTAATCTTTCAGCAAGTCTTTCAACAATTTTCCACTCCAATGTGATTAATTTTGCTGTTAGTCTGGGCTGGTTTGTGTGTGGTGAATGTAAATGAGACCAGTAGTTGTTAAGGTCTGTACCAAATGTAAAACTGAATGTCTGGTTCATGAAAAGCAACTGCTCTGGCTTGTGCCTGTGCAACTGATGCTGTTTTAGGCAGTCAGGGATGGGGATCATGATCCTGCCATCCTTTACAACTGCAGCATCTTAATATATGCTCCTAAATTCCTTTGAGTATATATAACTATGTGTTCAGACACTTGGCTCTGCATTCTACAAGAATATCACTGAAACATTAAAAAATATAAGCAGCCAACATTAACTTGCTAAGAGCATTCCAAAATAGAGTAGGATCCTCAGAAAAAGTGCCATAATGAGAATTGAACATTTTTGTTTGTTTGTTCAAAAGTACCTTGTATTTCACAGGCAGCTTTTTTTGTTAGTTTTTGGTTTTTTCCATTTATAATTTAGCTTAACCCACCATCTGAGAACTGAAAGGCAGAAAATCCCCGCCCAGCAGGGAAAGTCTTACAAGACTTTGAAGAGGAAAACCTATTTTGCAGCTGGGGTGGTTTCCCACCATGATGGTGAACAACAGGCACAGCAGCACTTTTTTTGTAGCCTGAAACTTAGGAAAACTTGGATTTCATTTGCTCATATTTACATTTGGCAAGTAGGGAGCAGAGAAGGAGTTGGGGGTATGAGAAATGAGACCCAATCTATCAAGTTCTTGCTTGAATACATCATCTGAGCATGGCCCAGCTCCTCTCCTCTCCTTCCAATTTCCAAAGAAAAGGTGAGGCCAGGGGGAGCCAGAGCTGCCCAGCACCCCAGAGGGTCACAGCCTTTAAATGTAAATTATCATTTAAATGTAAGGCTAACTGCAGCGGATTGGAGAGTGAGGATATTGAGGAATTAACTAACTGCCTATTTCAGATGACTTCCTATGGGAAGGCAGAGAAAATATTGTATAAGAAGGGAAGGAAAACACCCTAGGCTGAGGCCATAAGTGAACTTGGAATTTAATCCTAATTGCTTCCATTAGTTGAAACAGTTATTTTAATAATCCAACAATTGGCTTTTCTTGCCCTCAGCAGAACATTTGTCATTTGAGTAGGTGAATTTTTGGCCCTGAAGCAGAGTTCAGACTTCAGTACACTTCATAATACACAGAAGGAGGAATTCTTCAGCCAGAGGCCCAGGTGACAGCAATGGTCAGATTGCAAGCAGTGGCATTTGGCCCCAAAAAATGAGTGTCCTTGAAGCTCACCTGTAGCCCACTGCCCTTAGGACTCTAACTAGTTTGTTTCTTATATTTGTGTTTCACTGCTATTTATTTCACTCTTGTACCCTAAATTTAAGAAAATATTCATATTCAGACCATGACTGATTGTGCATGGCTTGCTATTTTAGCAGGATCAATATAACTAACTTTTGAAAAAAACTGAGAAACTCTCACTTATTCTTTCCTATGTTTTAGGAAGACAAGGATTTATTAATAGACACAGAATTACTGTTTCTGAGTTCAAGTTGACAAGCCCTGGTGCAAGTGTGCAGCTGGTCAGGAAATGTCACTGCAACTGGCTAAGTAACGAAAGATCCCTGATGTTTTAAGAACAAACATGTCAATATATAGAAAATTAATGGTGAATTAAAATACACCCCTCCAAGACTCTTAAGATAAATATGCTGTCTCCATGTGACCCCTTGCAATTCCTCTTTGCCCACTTTATATGATTATGAAAGCCTGATCACATTTCCATTAAAATCAAGGCTAAATATTTCAGTGCTCTTGGCACAGGATGAGACCCTTATTATATTTTAGTAGCAATATTTACTCCACAGAAGAAGTTTCTTTGGCTATACTTATGTTCTGTTATGATTCAATAGATGTGTATCTGACAGAATGACGTGGATTTGAATATGGCTCTTCTGAGGGAAAGAACTGGAAAATGCCCCACCAAGAGTTAATCTTTGCCAACATTTGTTGTTAACTGATATAAATAAATAGGAATGGTAGGCTGTCTTTCTGAAGTAGCGTTCAGAGCCTGAATAACATTTTAAGATGCTGTAAAGGGAGGACACATATCCTGTCTGGCAAGCTGAGGTGTAAAATATGCTACATGCAACCAGATGGCTGCACAAAGCTGTCTGAAATTGCAGAAGGAGACCACAGCTTTCTTCTGTGGCTGCAAGAACCTGCCAGGAAGGTCTTGTGCTGTGCAGGGGCTACTGCAGGGCTTGGCTGTGGAGCTTAGAAGTCACAAAGCAGACAACTGGGATGAATGGAAGACATGGTATACTAAACTGTGGCTTTTCAAGGGTTTTTGCACTTGCTTTTTCTTTTTTTTTTTTTTCTTTTTTTTTTCCTATGCTGCTGGCTTTAATAGTTTTTTTTTCCTCTCTTGCCAGTATTAAAAGTTTTGGTTCCCTTTTTTGGTCTGTTTTTAAGAACCTGCTACCTGTAATGTGCACACAGAGGCACTGGGCTGTGTATGGGAGTCTTGTGCACATCAGAAACTTTACCCACAGCTATTCCATAACTGAATGAAGTGAGCATTGCTTTCTCAAAGCTAGTTTCACCTCAAAGAGGAACAGCTGAGCAATGGGGCCAAAGGCACTGTTTGCATCTAAGAGTGCTTCAGAAAACACCCATTAAACCATTCAGCAACTGCTTTTTTTCAGCCTTGCACAGCAGAAATGGCAGTCTTGGAAACACAGAACCTCTTCTTGTATGGCTCCCTGCACTGTGAGCCTGAGGATGTGAGAGTGAGGGTGTCCAAAGCAGCCAGCAGTGACTCACACACCAGGTGTGGGACTTGAGTCTGTCCTTGTCACCCCTCTGCAGCAGGGCTGGTTCTCAGAAGCCCAGGTGGTTCCTTTTCAGTTCTTCTCTTTCCTGAGGAGAAGCAGCTTCTTTTCAGCTGCATCAGTTCTCTCTTGGAGAGGATGTTTAAGGCTTATGTTGGAAGCCTGGAAGGTGTTGGTCTACAAAGGAGTTTTCCTCTTGTAAGGAACGAACTTTCCCAGCCACCCTTTTGCAACTCCCCTGGTTCCAGGGGAGAGTGAGGATATTGAGGAATTAATGAACTGCTTATTTCAGATGACTTCCTATGGGAAGGCAGAGAAAATATTGTATAAGGAAAGGAAAACATCCTAGGCTGAGGATGAACTTTGAATTTAACTCCTAATTGCCTCCATTAGTTGAAACAGTTTTTCAGGATAAGCTGCCTCCTAATAGCAAGCATTAAGCTAGAATGCTTTATTGTTTAATAGCACTGAGCTTTATGGGTGTGAATTGGCTCCCAAAAGCAAATGACAGCCTCCACTCTTCAGCAGTCTTTGCAAATAATAGGAGGATAAAGGCAGTTAATTGAGGGGAAATGCCCTCACACAGACAAAGAAAACAGATTTCTACTAAATAGCCAGCACACAGAGGGCAATGAAAACTTCCCTAAGGTAAAACTGGACTCTTTTATTCTACCACAGAGCCAAAATCATTCCCAAGAAGCAAAGGGACCTGTGTTAGTGTAGCTGAAATTTAGAAGCTGGGCTGTCCTTCCCAGACTCCAAACAGAAAAATAGATTCAGTCTTTAGACTTTGCTTTTAATGACTCCCACTTGCTTCAGAGTTAGAAATTTTCTTTGTTAAAAATGAAGTGTACTCCTCGTGGATCAGCTTCTGAGTTGCTGATGCTCTGCTTGTTGAGGGTGTCAGCCAGGCCCTCAGGGCCACAGAGGAAAACACCTATTCTGGAGCTGTCAAGAAAATTAAAATATGGTCAGAAACTAGGTCTGGAGCAGCTGGATATTCCCCATGAAAAAACATTTTTATGTTCTACAGATGCAAGGCTTTTTCCCAATTACAGGAATTGGAGTAGAACTGGACATCTATACCCTAAACCTTATAATCCCTTCAAACTTATTGCAGCTTCTAAAACAAATGCTGGGCTAAATCTCAGCTCAGCCTTAGTCAGTGAAGACAGGTTTATTGGCCTCACTGAATCAAAGAAATAGAGATTCAAAGAGCTTATGGCACAAATTCTTGAGAGGAGCTATTCTGGTTTTTTCCTGCAAATTTTGGGTGGTTAGCTAAAGGTCATCCGTATTCAGGTTTGGTTTCTAGAGGTAGAAAGTGGTTTTGGAGGTGTTTAGACCTCACCTGATATTCCTATTTACTTCAGCTGGAAGGCTAGGGCTAATTTTTTCCTAAATCTTCTGCTAGTAATTAGAAGTATCTTCTGGAAAAGGATACTTTCCCACAAGATATCCCAAGAAGTATCTTGTGGAAAATGAATGACTTTTAAAAAAGTTGAAGGTCAAAATAATTTGTTCAAGATCATAGATCATGTCCATGGCTGAAAAAAAAATAGAAAATACCTGGAGAATATGTAGGGTAAAAAAATGCTCCTGAGACTATCAGCCAAAGGAACAAGATTTTGCTCTATGGTATGTATGGCCATTAAACAGAGGAAGTCCACAGACACCATAAATTTGCAAAGGTTTACCCAGGATGCTTCCCCGCAATTGTTTTGAACTCATTTTCCCAGTTAGGTCTTCCATACAAGGTTTTCTGTTTCAGTCCTGTAATCACATCTTTCTCTTCTTCATGATGCACTGCAAAGTGAGTGGCCTGTGGGAAATGAAAGACAAGGGACAGATAAATACTGCAGCATTGTGTTCTGGTTAAAAAATAATAATGTCAATACTGACTGAAATATTTCCCTAATGAGATTATGGAATTTATGGTATTTTGCAAGGAAAGATAAGACTGATAAAATCCTGGCTATCAGTATCTACCCCTTCCTTTTCCCCAGACTGGGTGATCTCAAGAGTTAAATCTATGAAACATTGAATGCAGCAATTAATTGTAGGGGTTTTTCCAACGAACAGGTTTAGTCTAAGAACTCTAACATAGGACTGAAAATTAAAAAATCCTTTCCCTTCAAATACAATAGCACAACTCCCTTGACCTTAATGAAATCCTGCCTGTTTGTTCTCTGGAAGGTTTGATCCATATGAGGAGGCCTTGCCTGTGTAATTTCCAGCTAGACCAGCTAAGTCAAGAAAAGCAAGGAAGAGAAAATGTGGTTAAAGGCATAAGCTCAGGCCTTACAGAGTTCTGTAGCCCTTTTATATGAGATAAAAAAAGCTCCAGGTACCTTTATCTCCAAGGAAAAAAATGAGGAACTTTTCTTCTTTCCTTTCTCTTTTTGTGATATTCCATATGTGATAACTTCCTTGCTGCTCCCCTTACCTGTCTATCTAGCTGAGCTACAGCACTTTGGGCACATGGTGAATTTTGCAGTGGTGAGATAAATGTAATATAAAACATCACCAAAAGTAACAGAGTGAGAGCCTTTCCTGACTCAATCCCACATTCTCAGGCTCCTTTGCATCCCCACAGCAATCTACCAGCACAGGACCAGAGAACTCATGAGTCCTGAAACAAATGTGCTGCTATGGTTCAAGCTTTGTGCAGTGGCTTCCCTGGTTCCTAAAGCCCTTAATTACATGCTTGAGGCAGCATCAGCTGCTTTAGGGACTCATACATGGTCAGCTGAGGTTCCTCCTGTGAACAAAGCCTGCTTCCCACAGAGCACAGCCAGAGGAAAGCAGAAAGGAAATCAGTGCCCATGAACAGCTGATCCCAGGTAACTGCTGATGGATAACACCTGTCTGCACACACCCAAAACCTCTGGGAGCCAGATGGATGCCCAGGATAAAAGACCATTTGAATAGCTATGAGAACAAATTTTCTGACATCAACCTCAGTTTTATGGCAGTGATATTCCCCACTGTGTGGTTACCTGAGTTTCATCCCAGCCTGTAAGGTAGATGTTGTAGCTCAGAAACTCTGCATTATTCCTCTCCTGCATTTGAGCCTCCAGAGATTGCAAGAGGTCAGCAAACCATTCAAAGGCATGAGTGTCCCTGCAAAGCCAGTAAAAATAAATCTGGAAGAGACAAGAATGAGCTGTCAGGGGACACAGGCACTTATGTTTTCCAGGTTTATGTCTGTTGACAGAGTGAGGATTATAGAGGTCTGGTAAAAAATGCCCTGAACACTTCAGTAGATGGGTAGGAATGGTATTGAAGCTATTCAGGAATTTTGATGCTGAGAGGGTTATAAAGCTGAATGACTGACTGCAAGAACAAGGAAATATATTCCTGTTTCTCTTCCACATTTTTAGTTTGCAATGTTTCCCCATTTATCTCCTTGTAAAACAGTTTGTTAGGACATAAATAAATGATTTAGAGGTGCACTCTCTTTCTGTCTGCTGGCAGGCGAGATAAAGTAGGTAAAAAAACCAGTTCTGTTCTCTGAATATGGCCATAACTGCAAAGTGTGACCCCACACCTCTGCACAGGGAGTTTCCAGGAGCAGGAGGGGACAGGAGGATGCTTCCATTGCTCTTCTACTTATGAAAAAGCCTTCCTCTTTGTGCTGAGGGAAGGAATGCAATATTTCCCCAGGCTGTATTAGCGCCTTGAACTTTATGTTTCTCAAGTAGATGAACACCATTTCCACTGCAACTGGAAATCCCCAGGGCCACAGTCAGGATTAGTATGCATGATTTGGCTTTTAGGCTGTTTCTCCTTTCATTATATTTTTGCTTTAGAGCCTCCTGTTTTCCTCCTGCTAACCTTGAGAGGCAACTGGACTCTTCCTTCTTTTAGGACTCATGCATGCCTGGAGCCAGATCACCTTTGCTGTGCCTGCTTTGACTGGGCCCTTGAACAGTTACAGGGGTCTGGAAAAGAGGACACAGGCATCCATACCTTCTTGAGCTTTAGGTTGGTGGCATCATGGCAGTATTTGTACCAGACAGACTTGAGGACAGATGCAAAGGGGGTGACCCCTATTCCAGCTCCAACCAGCATCACAGTTTCATAACTGAACACGTCCTCACTTGCTGTTCCAAAGGGGCCATCCACAGCTATTCTGGAATTTAAAGTATGCTTATTAAATCAGAAGTGAATATTTATTAACACCATTTAAAATGACAGTTGAAAGGTATTTGTCTGCTACAATGCATATTTGGACTGAATACTAGTCAGCAAAAGGAGAGGTGGAGCTGATAGAAAAAACTGTAAAGAGGCATCTAAGACCTACATCTGTGTCACCATTCAATGTTTGTATCACTGGTGTCATCAAATTGCTTGAGGAATATTTAAACTGCCATAGGTGTTTTTTGACTTTACCATGGAGACTCTTTGTACATACTTGGGCAACTTCCATGCCTCCTGGAATTCTTGTTTATCACAGCCACAGGCATTGAACAAGCCCTCTGTCCAGTCTCCTACGATTCGGACGTGAATGCTGAAGTAATCCTCTTCTGGGGCAGAAGTCAGTGTAAATGGATGCCATTCCAGTTTAGACACTGCTGGACATTTGACAAAAATGTATTGTCCAACCTCCATCTTGAAGCCTTTTTTCATCATCTGGAGCTCAATTGTCTTGAAGGGATGAATGACCACCTACAGTGAGGAAGGGCATAGGGAAAAACAAGGAAAAGAAAATGTCTGTCCTCACTAATGTATCTCACTGATATATTTACATCCACCATCACTATCATCCTCTGCTATGAGAGCAAGGAAAGCAGGTGAAACTTTCTTCCCAGCAGAACTGAAAGTGAGCAACAGCACCTGACAGGCAGATAAAAGCCTGCAGAGGATGCTGATGTTTTGGTTGAAGTATTTTCTCACCCCACACTTGCAGCCACTCCAAAGGACAGGCCAGGCTGGCACATCTTGTAACACATCTCCAGATTTGTGTGAGCACATTGTTAATTCCAGATGGACCTTACCCACTGGCACAGAGCACAGAGTTAATGGGCCTGACTGTAAATATAGGGGCAAAACCACAGGGCTATCCTATAGATATTGGACAGGTAGTACCACTGGAAATGGATGATTTCTTATTTTAGTCAGGTGAGACCTTGGCTATTCTTTAGAAACAATCTTCTAGAAGTAAAACCAGTAATTCTGTCACTCAAGTTTTTAATCCTAAAGTTGTCTGCCAAAATTATTTTCATTTTTAAAAAGAGATTTGCAAGAGGGAGAATCAAGTCTCTCTGTCTGTTAATTTTGGTATTAACTGTGGTGTTTAGGATGGTGAAGGAAATTTTCTGCCAACAGGACACAAAACAGATGCCATAGAAATATAGTGTAGAGGTAGCACACAGGATATTTTGGTAAAATTACCAAAAGCACACAAATATTTAGGAGCCTTCCAATGTGTCAGCATAATTATAGAGCACGGTAGAAGCACTTAATGTCATCCCCCAAACCCTGCTATGATTTGAACAGGGTGTGTCCTCAGGATGCAGCACAGTGCCATATGAGGAAATTACCCTGGGAAAGGCCAGGATAGTTTTCATAAGTTTGAGTTCAGTTCTGTGCTAATTCAGCTGTCAGAATTTCAGGATCAGTGTTAATATCTCTGCAACACACCACAGAAATGAAAGCTCAACATTAGATTCTGGTACATGAAACAAACATGCTCTTAATTTGTGTTCAGGGGTCATTTGTTCTGTGTCTTAAATTTGTCTCAAGCCCATGGAATTTCTGTACTGTGGAATTTTTTCACCCAATACAAAGAAAATTCATTTCTTTCCTAAAATTCAATCCTGTGCCTTAGCTATATTCCTCCTCTTCCTCACTTTTAGAGGCTACATTTGGATGTTAGGTGTTGGCATCACGACAGCAGTCAGAACATCCCTTCCACTGATAACTTGGGTATGTAGGAGCCTCTGCCTTTGCTGCACCATTTGGAGGAGAAGGTGGAGCTCTGCCAGGTGTTAAGTGCAGCATCAGCACTTACCTTTGTGATAACAGGTTGTTATCACTTACCTTTGTGATAACAACCTTCTGCTGTGACCTCCAAAACCGCACCAGCCGCTCACACAGGTACAGGAACATGGGACCCACCACCCACTTCCATGTCTGTAGGCAGAAGAAAATTCTGTGATTCTGGGTCAGATGATGAAGATCACAGAATCATAGAAAGGTTTGGGTTGGAAGAGATCTTAGAGATCATCTAGTTCCAACCCCCACTGCTGTGGACAGGGACGCTTTCCACAAGATGAGATGGCAACTTAGATCAATTCAAATCCTGGAAATTCTATAAGCAGAGGTGAAGTTCAAGTAATCTCTATTATTTATAAACCAGATTAGGGAATCCTTAAGATATATGACATTTTCATAATTCTGGTCAGAGGGGGAATTTCTTTCTCTGTTGAGTGTTGCAGCTGGCTTTTTAGTTTCTACTAGAGTTACAGCAAGGTATTTTCCTGCAAGTAATTTTGTCTCTGTCTAAAAAAGAATGTAACAAAGTGAAATGTGGTATTCAGGTATTATTGACTCAGGTCTGTATTACTGCAGGAAAAGATGTGGTTTCTGTTAACAGCTCAGTCTGAAATGTGAAAGAAGAAACAGCCTGGTTAGTCAATAAAAGCTGAAGTTTCAAATTCACATTTCCAAGGGTGTTATTTTCTTGCTAATGACCATTAGTCCATTAATAATGTTAAACTATTTATTATGAGCATTATAGCACTTTCTAGATATCCCCAGGAGCCATTACTTTGCAGTTTACTTTTTGGATAAAAAGTTCTCAGATACCAGTTGCTCTTTTGCTTTGTCTGTCAGCTGTGCTTATTTTACAGCATGCTGCAAGTGTGCAGTCTGTCTGGAGTCCATTTCTGCTTACAACCCACTGTGTCCAAAACTCTTGCTTCATGCAAAGAAAGCTGCCACTGGAGAGTGCTGAGGGTTATATGGCTAGTTTTATATGCAATTTAAGAAAAAACAGAAAACTGTAAACATTTCCAATTGGATTTACACGCAAGCCAGCTGTTCTTACCATAGGAGGATTCCCTGAAAACTGGGGGATTGGACAAGCCTCAGTCTTGCCCCAGAGAGTGAAGTTCTTGTAGCAAATCTCTGGGTTGTGTTCAGCCAGGCTTTCAGCTGTCTGTCCCCGTACAATACGACTGGGAAAAAAGTAAAGGTCATTAAGGCAATGAAATTAAAATTAAAGTATCTGTTCCTTATTGTTATTCTATTTATGTACATCACCCTATTTATATGGAGTTGTCAATTTGTGCACTGCTACAGCTCTGATACAGATTTACTGCTCTAATCTACCCACAAAGTTACTATTCAGAAATAAAAATGGGGAGGGAAGTTTGTGGGATAAAATCCTGATTTCAAGGTTAAGGTGAGGAACTGAGAGTTATGTTCATTACCACTTCGAGGATGTGGTCACAATTAGAAAGCTTCATTCTTTTCTGAGTTATCCTACTTCTTTTCTTCAATTAAAAGAAAAAAAAAAATAAAACCTGACTGAAAGAAAAAAACAAACAAAAAAACCAAAACCCAAAACCTGGAATGGACAAGTAATCAATTTGCTACTGACCACAAAAGAGATTATTCCTGCTGTTTATTTTAGAAATTTGGAGATCCCTTTCCAAAATATTCTCCCTTTGGAGCAGCTGTTCAGGTGCTATGAATGAATACAGATGCTTTTGACACAAGCAGCTATTACAGCTAGCACCTTGCATCAGCCAATTATCTGGCCTCAATTTTCTTGCTTGGTTATCTTTTTGTTTATTCATTTGTTCTTTGTTTTAATATAAAGAATGCTAACTGATCCAGTACAGCTGTATTTCCAGTAGCAGAACTGGTGCAGAGAGGTAATTTCAGTTTCAAGGGGCAAAAGCCTATTCCTTTTCACTATTTCCTGCCTCTGTTTGGAGTTCTGCCAACCTCAGGATCCTAGTAAAAACTTTCAGATTAAGATCTGCTGAATTTTCCCTAGAAACAGTCTGCTTCTGATCAGGCTGGTCAGTTTTATGCCAACGTGATTCTTTGATATCTTCTCCCCATGATATCTTTGATATCTTTGATATCTTCTCCCTTTCTGCTTTCCTAGCTCAGTGCCTGTGAGCTAGACAACATTTCTGATATTTCAAAGAACCCCATGGTATCTAAGCCATGCCTAGCTTTGTGTGACAGATTTTCCAGAGAATTGTTACAAAACCTCTGCACAGGGTTGAGAGATAAGATATTGCTCATAAATATTACTAATGAACCTCTTCTTCATTAACTGTTTGATTAATATTCTGTCTGAAAAATAAAGGGAAGCAGTGACAGTGTCCCAGCAGCATCACGAGTTGCAATTTGCAGGAACATCAGCAGTTACATTTCACTTCCCCACTAATGACAGGGGGTTCAGCTGGGCCACCTCTGGGATCATTTATGGGAACAGGAGGAGCCCATTTCCTCCACTGCCCTCCCCATTGCTTAAGGGAAAGGGGGTCTGAGGGTTTTTGCCTTGCTATATGCTCTATTCAAGGTTAACAATGTCAGTACCCTGTACAAGACCAAAAAAAGTTTATTTCCCCTTATCAGTCAGTGTAGATGCTCTTTCTAGCACTGTAATTAAGCTTTCAGCAGTATAGACTTATAGCTACTTCTTTTTTGGCTGAAGGTTTTCCTTTAACTCCAAAAGAGTGAACTGCACCTCTGTACCCTCTCCTCCTCACATTTACTGTGTGGGGAAATTTGGGACATTTGTCTGTGACACAGAGCTCATGCACAAAAACCATCAGTGCTTCAAAAGTGCTATAACAGCTTGTAACAGACAAGAATTATTGTAGAGTCAGAGAATTAAATCACACAATGGTTGGGTTGGAAGGGACCTTTAAGATCATCCAGTTCCAACCTCCCTGCCATGGGCAGGGACAACTTTCACTGGACCAGGTTGCTCAAAACCCCATCCAGCCTGGCCTTGAACAATTCCAGGGATGGGGCAGCCACAGCTCCTCTGGACAACCTGTGCCAGGGCCTCAACACCCTCACAGTAAAGGATTTTTTCCTAATATCTGATCTAAACCTACCCTCAGTTTGAATCCACTCCCCCTTTTCTGTCACTGTGCTCCTGTAAAGTGTCTCTCCATTCTTCTTGAATCTGCCCCTTTGATGCTATCAATAAACTTCGACTCAGCTTTCTGTATATACAAGGATGTGTGTTTGCAGAGAGTAATGAGAATATGTGTGACAGCCTTCTGTCCCATGAGATAAACTGGCATTCATGTCTCTTCCTAACATGTTGCTTTGAGAGTGTCAGCTCATACTCATTCCATGACATCCATCTTTGCACACTTGAGATGCCTTCCATGAGTGTAACAATCCCATCTCATATTTCTCAGTGTATTTTCTCTTAACTCAAAATGTCATTATTACTTTGAAGGCCAAATAAGTGGGGTCACTGAGTTCATAGCTGGAAAGCATCCTTTCCTCTACAGATGAGAATATTCCTGTTTATATCTGCTTCCAAAGGACAGCTGAACTTCACTGACAACACTGCTGCCCAAACTCTTGCCTTTTCATTCCAGTGCAATTAAGATGGTGGGAGTACAGTGAACACTGAAATAAATAAAAAATCAATTTTTATAAAATATATGCTTTCCACTGACCTCTGGAAAGGGCAATGCTTGCTTTCTGATAGCATTGTGTAGTATGTAGTAATTACTGGCAAGTTTGGACATTGTGTCAGTAACTATACAATGTTTGCTGCAGAAAACATGAACCTCTTGTTTTTTTTCCTCCCACAAGTTTTGCTCAAACTGTTTCCTTGTTATGAAAGTTGGAATGAGCAAATATGCTGGGGGTGATTCTCATCTGCCTTCTATTTGTGTTCTTCCTGTTTTACTTTGATTTTTGACTTCTAGTGGCACTAATGGACTGTAAGGAAGTGGTTTTGAATAGTCATTTTTGCTGGGCATTTTTAAAGCACACTTTCTATTGCATGTAGGAGTTCCTTTAAAATGGGCAATGTAGTGTAATTACGAACTATTTAAATGTAGCTCGGATACTTGAGTCTTTTTTCTTTATTCACCCATTCTTTGGTTTTATAAAATGGATCTAAAGTTCATTTTTCTAAGTGCTAAAATTGTGTTTGTGTAGTGCTAAAACTGTTTCATTAGGCTTTCCAGCTCTTTCAGAAGATATGAAATGAAGCAACAGCAGAAAAAGATCTTTGGCATTTGAAAGTTAAAAACTTTACAAATTCCTATTTCTAAGTTGAAACAGCTAAAAATCTATTCTTAAATGCTGCTTATACTACGAGTTCATCCAAGTCTGAAACATAAATCTATATTACTATAGTTTTCATTATCCAATAAAATTCTAAACTCTGTAATTTTTTTACTAAGATCTCCTTACATGCATGTGTGTGATGCAATTCCTTTTAGGAGAGGAAGGAAAATTAACAGTTAAAAACAGAAACCTTGGAAAAGAGTTTTGCAATTAAGATATCAGAAGAAGTTAAGTGATAGCGAGCCCAAGTATGCCAAAGTCACATGAAACCTGTGTGAGGACAGCTTGTTGCAAGTATCAGTGAGAGCTTCTTGACTCTCAGAGCCTCTACTGGCCCATCACTGCCATCAAAAACAGCTGCTGCTCAGTGACAGAAGTCCACATACTCATGTGTGAAGGGGGCTTTAAATAAAGATTCAGTGGTTATCAGATATTTGGTGACAAGTGCAGATACTCACCCAGCACCGTGGATGACAAGGCCAATAAAGAAGATGACAAAGAGATGGTGGGTGTACCAAAATACTTCAAAATATGACCTCCGGATGGTTTTGGTGGATGAGGTGATGATGAGGATGAGGGCCAGTGTGATGACAACCCCAGTGATGCCAGCCAAGTATGTGAAAGCCACATAGAGGCCCCCAACAGGATTCTGTGAAACAATTGCACACCTTGGTCTAAGGAAGGGGTTGCACCAAAGCAGAGCCAGTTGAACCATTCCTCACCAAACCCTTTACTTTGCTATAAGTCCTTAAGTCATCTGATGCCAAAATCCCTGTTCATTTTCGTTGCACTGCACATTTACCTTTACTAAGGTAATTGGAAGTACAGAGAATGCTTTTTCCATGAATTAACACACCAAACATGGTTTCTTACTCTGCCATGGCTCAGCAGGACTGCTTTGGGGAAGGTGAATACATTTGCACAGGTCTGGCATTCAGAGCTGGAGTCCTACATCCATATTTTGGGAGCTAAATGAAAACTCTCCTTTCCTCTGGTGTTGCACAGCTGTGGGACTCATAACTCATGCAGAGTTTGGAGGCTCAGTGCTCTTCTGAGAAGTAGGGAAGTACTTTCTCTTCTTTTTCCCCACTGACCAGAGCTTAAACCACCACACTTCAAAACTTTTGCCTTTACTTCTGTGTACCTTTCTGAGTGTCATGTCTAAGTTAGAACACTGCTTTACAGGGTATGCTTTACATAATGTTTTAAAACTACTTTGAAATCCTCAAGTGAAAAAGTTTAAAGTACTACCAGAGCTCAGCAACGATATTACTGGCAAATATAGAAAACTGAATTCTACAAGGTTTTTCTGCAAGATGGCCCAAACCCAGACTGTGGACACCAGAAACAGGCACTCTGCTCAAATAATTTTATATGATCACCCACACAAATGTAGTGATGACCCTTTGGAGTCTGATGTCACTTACAGCAATGGTTTGCCTGTAGAAGTTGACATAGCTTTCCTTTGGTTTGTCCCCAAGGACAGAAAGCACAGCTGCCAGGGTGCCTTTCTCTTCAACACGGGCTTGCACGCTCCACTCCACGTTGAATAAGTGTGCAATGGTGTGAATTGCTAGGAGTGACAGGAAAGGAATAATCAGCATTGACCACAAGTACTCATCAGTTTGGGGTAACGTCTCAAAACTTTGTCACATTTGTCAACGGCTGCTTAAAGGCTCTGCTGCTCTCGCCATCTTCATCACAATTGCAGATCAGTGATGTGCTTTACTGTTAAAATTTTACCACCTGAATTTTGCAGGTTTTGGGTGAGGGAGGGAAAGAAGTAATGGGAAATTTTCAACATATTTTTGTTCAACAAAGCCTTTCAACAATTCAAGTAGCAGTGCCCTAACAAATAGGATACTGAAATATGGAATGGCTTAAACTATTTTTTAGGATCATCCTCATGCAGGACTTCTGTAAAACAGCCAAGAACTGAATCTGGATTTATTTGGGGTCACATTTATTAGTGCTGCTTTGTTCTTCAGTTTTGCTAATAATCATCAGTAATATCCTCACTGAGCTGAATGCATCCAAAAACCTAAACCAGCTGAGATGTTCACATGAATTCCATACATGTCTTTGTAGGGTAAAATTGTACAATGCTTTTCAAAATTTGAACCACCTCCTACAAGTAGATACTTATTTGTCTTCAAAGCAGGTCCAAGCTTTTTATATCCTTTTTAAAAAAGAATTTCTATTATTTGTTTTAGATGGCAGATAAGAAGTAACTAAACAAGAATGAATCCAGTGTATCCAGTTCTCAGGACATTGCTAAACACCCTTTATTAAACTATCATAAATAGTACTGACAGTTCAAAATACAGGTATTCTTTCTTATCTTTTGCTCTCTGACAGTTGGCACATATCTGGAAACTGATTTAAGCCTTGGCACACACTGACTCCTTTAATGAAATCAGGTCACTGTCCATATCTTAAAGAACTTGAATGCCACCTGGATTCCACATAAAATACACAAGACAGCAATAAACAAAGAAACATTAGAGTACCAACCAGTGTGAAGGGCGATCATCCAGGCCACCATTTTGTGAAAGGTGAGGTTTCTGTCCAGCTGTCGCCTGATCCGGGTAGAGCAGCACTTTGGGTAGAAAGAAAAAGGTATTTGAAGATTATTTGTGTTGTCTGTGCACACTTTTTAAAGGCAGGGACAAAATCAGAAGCCCTGAGCACACTGGTGGCATTGCTAGGAAAAATGTAGAATTCCAGAATATAGACAAAAATATTTTCCCCCCATCTTTCAGAAAACAGGATTTCCAGATTATGTTTTAACATGTCCCCCTGAAACAAAGTATTTGATAAGGAGAAAAAATTTAACATCCAGTATGACAAAGGAATACATCTCATCTCTTTTAAATTGTACATTATAAACAAAATGAGGGATCACAGTCTGCCATGGCAGAGTGACTGCTTTGCTACCACCAGGATCCTATTGTAGGTCACAATCTAGAAACAAGCTGCAAAGTTTGGGTATAACTGTCTCAGGGAGCTCCCATCCCAAATCATATCACCTATGGCAGTGATATGAAGGCATTCCTTCTCCAAAATACTGGATTTACTTCCCAGGCATTCACTTACAACTTGATTTTGGAGTTACCAAAAAAAAAAAAAACCCAGCAAAAATCTCTGCAGATACAAACCAAAGAAATTAATTCTCAAGAAAAACAGAGTGATATTTTCATTATTATGGGTTCCTAACAGACCCCACATGAACTCTGCTGAAGTCCCTGGGAGTTTCCCTAAAGCCTTAAGTCCCTGTAAAGCTGCCATTTGCTGTCTCCACACAGTAGAAGGCATGACTGTCATGTGCTGTATGTTTGCATTGTGTTTGCTGACCAGATAAGGGAACAAAACACTGTGCAAACTACCACAAGTATTTCCTCACAGGAGACAAACACTCTGGGGCTGCCACAATCACTTCAGACTACAATGACAACCAGAAGAAATTTGGCCTTTTTGTATCACCTATATTGAGAAACAATAAAAAAATATTGTAGAATAAAATGTAGCATAGTGAGGCAGTGCTTGACTCCCTTGCAAACACCACTTGATGCAAGAAGTGAAGGCCAAGCAATGGCAGAGGGCTCCAGCTGCCTTCAGTCAATGTGGCTCATTAACAACAGTTAATACAGCAATAATGGACATGCAAAAAACAATACAGCTATCTTTTCAATTAAAAAGTTGCAAAGTTATTACAAATAACTTTGTATTGTGATTTCTGGGTGGCAGGATGGAGAGGGCAAGACTTTTCTGTACACTCCCTTTGAACGCTCTGTTCGAGCAATTCTTTCCTCTTCTTGACCCCAATGACATTGCTGTTGGGAAGGTCACTTCTCTTCCAATGAGTTATTTGACATTTAAATGATTTTTCTTATAGATCCTCACAGTTGTTACCTGCAGAGCATAGCTAATCAGAGACAACAGCGCAACAAGCACAAGCAGCTGTCCCCCTGTGCTAAGGCCACCACAGCACTGCCACTGACGGTGGCTCACTGGGCCGTGGGTGTTTTCGCTTAAGATCTAAAATTACATCCTTCCTGGGGCGTAGCTTTACTGCAAAAAAGCAACTGGAGCTAAACAAGCAGCAGCTGTCTAAGAGCTGTTCTATGCCCCTCCCTGCCCTCCTTGCTCACCCTCAGAGCCCTTTGCTTCCTCATTCCCAGCCATCAGCAGGAGAGCGTGCTGACAGCAGGAATGGAACTGTGTCTCCCTGCCTGGGACTCACTTTTATCTGGGTGTAGCCTGAGTGACTCTGCCACAGTGCCCAAGGCAGAAGGACTGGCTCCAGTTTGAATACAAAGAGGGACAGTTTCCCAAGACCTTGGTTAGAAAAGTTAGGTTATGCATGCTAGGAGAGGAGCAATTCAGGACAAGTAGCACAAAGTCCCAGCTGGAAAACAATTCTCAACACCCAGAATCAGTTTTTGGCCTTGCAGTAGCCTCCATGTGTACACCCAGCTCTTTCACTGTTTTGAGCTCAGAACACCTCTACCCAGCTTGCTTTCACCTGTGCAATCTTAAAAATGCCTTATATGATCATTGGCTCATCATTATTTTCCAGTTGAATTCATTCATAGCAGCATTAATTCTTTTGAAATTTATGTTCATTATTGACTTCTCCTGCCAGAGGAGTCAGCTCTGGATTTTGGCTTATACTTGCTGATCTGCCTGGGGAATAACAACTTTAACCCTACAGCTTTATTTACTATCCTTCCTCCTTTTCCATGAATGGAGGGTATGGCTGGCTGCTTTGGAGCATCTCAGGATCTGAAGGAGTATAGGAAAAGACTGAAAGCCTGACATATATTTCCAATTTTATATTCCTAAGTGTTATTCCTTAGAAAGGCTAGAGCGCTGGCCTTGCTCATAAATGTAATTAAAGAGTTTAATGTAGTAGGCACACCTCATTTATTCAGCCACACTCACTGTGAAGATGTATGATGTACTAGATGGGAGTACAGCCTATTTTGTCTCTGGTTATTTTCTTATTGCTTCATATCCCACTTTCTTCCCTTATGAAGGACTGGTGAAACACTGCATCTATTTTATCACTTCCTCTTCTGCTCTGCCTCTCCAGCCCCTGTAGGCTCTCATTTGCATTAAGAAATTCAGACTGGGTTTAGAGATGAAAAACGACTTCTGGGAACTGGTTTTGTTGAACATGTTTTTGTTAAAAGTGTCCAGAAAGAAAGGAAGAATCATTATACATTTGGAAGGACAATTCATGAACTTGAGGAGCATATTGCTTTTTCACTGGACCATGGCCTGCATTGTCTGCATTATTTCTGCTGTAATAGCCAGAAATCAAGATTTTGGCAGTGTGATAGAGTCTGGAAGCCTCTCCAGCTGTCACTTAGGATAAGCTGTCCTTTCCTTAGTGTCAGCTCCTCAGTGCTGTGTATTACATTTGCATTTGGGAGCTCAAAAAAGTCAAAAGGCGTGTGAATTATTTCATCTGAGATGGAAATGCAATTCAGACAAGATAGAATGTAAATTTATGAGCCAGCTGAAAAAAAGTCCCATTCTGAAAGTCTGCAAAAGACAACATTTGCCTTAAGGACTGAGCATGCAAAGACAGACAGGGGCTGATATTTCTCTCTCTAAGTGGGTGTAGCATCAGTGACAAACAGTGGATGTGTGTTAACACCAACAGCTTCTGCCAGCCAAAAGGGGGACTTTGCATGCAGGGCAGGACCATGCCCAGGAGGGAGCTGAAAAGGGAGGACTCAAAGGAGACTAATTCAGCTAAACTCTCAACAGAGCTCTAGATACCCCATGGGCATTAGACCTCAGTCTTGCTCACAGCCAAACTCCAGGCTTATCTGCTTCTCATAAAAGGACATCCTCAAAATATGGTCTATTTGGGGAACTTGGACACAGTTTCTTGGTATACTTGCAAGTCTGTTTAGGTATGAAAGATAATATCTTTCACAAATTTTGAAATTCTTTCTTCATCTTACCGCACTTGATCCTCTGAGGAAGGAGAGCAAGTTTCGACACACTGGCAGCAGAATCAGCATGCAATTGAAATTCAGGCAGGCTGCAGGGGCCCTAGCAAGAGCCAGAGCACGCTGGAATTAGAGAGATGCTGCTATTAATTGCATTACCTAAGACATTATCCAGGACACAGATTTCATTTATGTGTTATATCATAACTGGTGTGAGATCTAGAGTTCGCATTTACACCATGAATGTTCCAAGGAATCATGCTCTGGTCAAGTCAGAAACACATGTGCAGGCAGAACATGCTCCTGCAGACAGACACCTCCTGTTTTCAGTTTTGAATTAACATGGTTGTATAAAAAGCTCCCTGCCATGTTTGGCATTCAGCAGTCAAACACAGGTGCAAATCTAAGCCATTGGTAGAGTTTTGTGTCCCAAGGCTGTAAAGAGTCTGTGGTTTCAGTTGGTGGGGGTTATGGACAGCTTATAAAGAGAAGTGGTTTAAGTTCTCTGTCAGTAAAGGAGTCTAGGGAAATTTGTTGCCTCAGCTTTTAGGAATCTGTTTCCTTAATGTTGTTCTTTATACCCTTAATTATTTAATATTTTTGAACTGTTTGAAATGAAGAAAAAATGACCATATTAATCAAAATGCAATGAAGGGAAGAGAAATAATGTTTGCTCTCCTTGCATGGACTGGCACCTTTTAGGTTTTAAACCACAGCTGTTTGGGTTTACACTGAGCTGTACTTATCCAAGCACAAGTCTCTGTGACTTGAAAGGCAACTGCATCATGATTGCAAAGGACAGGATTTGATCCACAGACCAGAAGCTGTATGCAGAATGGGATTTCAGGCTTTGTAGAATTAAACCATGGCTTTGCAAACCTTCAGCAAAGTGCTGTGCTCTGTAATCTGAAGCTTAGGTTGATTTTTATGCCTGTGATCAGGGTTTTAAAATATGTGAACAAATTAATTTTCCTTGTCAATTGGTCATGACCTGTGGCAGATTTGGAAGCAAGTTTGTAGTAGGACACTCAATGCTGCATTAACCAGTTGGATTACATGGAATAGCTCAGGATCCAGGATCACTTCACTACCTGGCTACCACTCACACTCTTGATGAATATATGAATGGTGATTGCTTTTCAGAGCCAATGTCTTTATAAACTATTCATGGTCTGAAAAATAATTGCAAGGAGAAATGACTGCACAACAGTCCAAAGGCAATATTTTATTAATCTTCTGCTTAATAAAGTAGCCACAATTAATGCTTAATTTAATTACCAAGAGCATAATAATTAACTGAAAACATCTTTAGAATGGGATCTCTCTATTTTGTGCACCAGCTTCCTGTTCAGAAGCACTGAACATCTGCCTGCATTCAGTTATCTGCTTGCATGTGACTTCTACATGAGCCTGCTGCTCCAGTTTTGATCAGCTAAAACTATTAAACTGCTGTGTGCTCTATCTGTGCCAAACCAATAATGTCTGTACTTACGCCAAGGAGCACTCTGGTGTAGAAGAATTTTGGTGGGACATCATACACAAGATAATACCACCAAAAGAGGAAGACATTTAAGCCCAGCCACACAAGCTGAAAGAGAATTAAACAGGAAGCTTACAGTTTGTTGTTAGAAGTAATCCATCTGAATTTACACAGTTCAGATAACAGTCAGTTACTTCCCTGTGCTCCTGTTTGCACAGAGAGATGTACTGCAGGGTATAAAGTTTTCAGCAAGGGGGACAGAAATCTTTCTGCTGTAAACAGGCTCTGATTTGTGAACACAGGGTACAGGAGTGGCAATAGACCAAAACACAGCAATGTGCAGCTGAAATGTTTTCACAGGTCAAGGAATTTAGGGCTGGTTGTATCAGGACTGTCATATTACAATTGTTTGATTTGTTGAGCCCAGTTAAATCTCTACCACTGAAGGTTAGGGACTCTTCCAAATGGCAGCTCCATTCCACAGGGACATTAACCTGTGTGAGAGGAAGACTTGGAAGCTGTGACAAAGAAGCTTGAGATCTAAATTTAGATGGACTAAATTGCACATAGGGCTGAATTCAAGAAGAGGGTCTGAAATCACCCAGCAGGGAATATTCAACACAGGCCCTTGGTAGCATGTAGACTACCCCAAACCAGGCTTTGTGGATGTACTGCAGAATTTTCTCACACTTAAACATCCTGAGGTGCATGCTATTAACTCTTAGGCAGCTACAAGTCCATCTGGCCAAAAAAGGTCATAATAAATCTGGATATTTGCCCTTCTGGAGCTGGTTGGCTGATTCCACATCCCATATTGAAACATATATCCCATATTGAAATACATCCCGTATCTGTAACGCTGCACTCAGTTTAAGTAGTTTTGCTAAGTGTTGCATGTAAACAGAGAGAAAGTCTGAGAACTGGGAGAAAGCCCAGAAAAGGTGACATTACAGCTCTTCACCTCTCCTAACCCATATATTTTGCTAGTTCTTTCGCTCAAATAACACTGTAAAAAAAACTGGTTTTATTTCAGATCTTGAAAATGTAAATAAATACTGGGAAATGAAGGGATTTCCATCAGGGTAAGGGAGTATATAGGAAATCCCCAAGTCCTCATTAAAATACCAAGCTCATCTCAGGAATAAGTGCTTAGGACACTTATTAAAAGTGACAGTGGCACACTCTGGCAGCATGTTTCTGTTTTGTTGAGGTACATCAGCAGGAATTGTGTCTGTCCTGTTTCTGTCAAGCACTGGACAGCCCTGTGCCTGCTCAGTGTGCAGTAAAGGTGGAGAGGCTAAAGCAGAACACTTGGGTGGGGTTTCCAGTGGTCTGTCCTTTCAGCTGGTTTCTTTATGTCTGTTAGTTTCCTTCCCTATTACCCTCATCTTGTTATAGCTTTGAGGTTCAAAACCCAAATTCCTTATTTGAGCAAAATAAAGTCCTCTTACTTAATCCTTTTAATATTTCAGTTCTGGTGGGGGAAAAAAAAGGCAAAAAGAAAGCCAGAATTCACCTCTTGGCAGTTTCAACTTCCTCAAGTCACTGAAGCTGACAGCACACACAGTCCCTCCCTTTCAAAGCACTGAAGTGCCACAACTATGGGATTATATTCCTAAATTACAAGGTCATACGCAAGTACTGATTGCTCATAGCAGCAGAAATACTTCTTGGAATAAAGATGCTCACATTTCAGTCACCAAAAATATACAAATTCTATGCTTTCTTTTTCTTCCTCTCAGTATTTGCATCTACTAACAAAAGGTAGCCACAATACTTGAACTGCTCTTAGATTTTGGTTATGCATATGTTTTTAATACATATATGTATATGTACATAATATAAGTATAGAGGTATACCTTTAGCCCTTGTATCACAATGTGAAGTAAAAAAACCCCACTAGAATACAAACTCATTTTTCTCCAAGGAGGACTGTCCTGCTTACTCTTTAGCTCTTGTAAATGCAACTGCGATTTTCCATTCTTTTAAATCTTGATAAGAATTAATTTAACCTACTTTCACAGCCCCTCTATGCAAACTGTAAACAAATTCAATTCAAATAGTAGTTGTCTTTATAAAGGATTCATGAATCTCTGCTCTAAATCTCTGCTCTTTCCTCCCTTGAATCTGACATTAATAAATATTTTATACCATCAAGACACTGTGCTATTAGTTAGATCCCCTTCTGTTCATAAAAGTGAAAGAAAGGGTGATTGTTTTAATTGCTATCTCTGTTGAAGTGCATGTATTTAAGTGAGTTTTAAAGTTATTTGTTTTGCTCAACTAAAGTATTTCTAACTAAGCAAAGTTAATACACAATCATTTATCAGTTAACAATGAAGCCTACAGCAACTGAAATACCAGAGAGCTCCTTAAAAATTATTCCCTCAAAGCATTTCCCTGCATTTGCTGCCCCAGTTTCAGCATAATCAGGTGCACCTTTCACTGGCACAGTGAGAACTGCTCAGCACAGCTTTCTGCAGGACTTTTCACTGGACACAAATGCCAACAGAAATTGTACTTACAACGACGAAGATGGACAGTCCTTCATTCTCCACCCAGTTCCCCATGGCTGCCTGAGATGTGTGAGCACAGCAGCCCTGCTCTCTCTGGGACAGACTCTACGTCTTCTCTCAGGAGGAAGTGAGAGCAAAAGGTTGCAGCACCCTGTTTCCTTTCTCATTCATTTGGGAAATAAGTTAACCATTTAATCATGACCCCAGTTCTGTTTTGAATATGTTTCTCTCATCTCTGCATATAACATTTCATAACTCAAATATGTATAAACTGTTGAAATAAACTTTTTCATTGTGACACAAAGGATAGAATAAATTGTACAAGTGATCAAGTGTTCTGCTAAAAAATGTATTGCCACTTTGTATAACTTTTAATGCTGAAGTGTAACATAGAGAGCACAGAAGAGTTACCTCTGCCCACACCTGTCTCTTTTTAATCACCTCAGGACTGAAATGCAGTCCATGCTGATCTTTGTTGATAAATAATCATTATTACTATTTCTCTGCCAGTAATTCAATGTCCACAGAAACTTCAAAGTGGAATCTAACATTCTTCTTGTCTGGTACATTTAAACCTCTCTAAATTCCTTCCAAAATTCCCCTCTGTTCTGGCCAAAACTGAAGAGAAATGTCACTGGATAGGCTTTTTTCCCATGGTTTTGAGTCTCACAGGATCCCCTTTGATGGCCATCCCAAATGGATCACAGAATTACAGAATGATAGGATGCTTGGATTGAAAGATCATCTACTTCCAGCCCCCTGACATGGGCAGGGAGGCCACCCACTAATTCAGGCTGGTCAGGGCCCAACCAACCTGCCCTTGGATGCTTTCAGGGATGGGGTAACACTTCCAGGGATGCTGGATGTCATCGCAGGGTCTGGTGCCCATATTTTTATTTATGGAGGTAGCTTCTGGAAGTTAAACAGTTGGAGTGGCTGGGAAGGAAAGGAGGGAGGCAGTTCTGATTTGTGGATGTCCATTCTTGCAGTGAAGACAAGCCTTCTCTCCCTGACCAGGAATGGCAGTGTTCTCACTGCCTTTTTCTTCTCCCTAGCTCAGGGCAAGTAACTTGTGCCTTCTCTGGGGTGAGCCAGTGCAGGTATCCAGGATGCTCTGAGCTTCAGCAACTTTACCTTTCCTGGAAGCTCCTCAGGCACCATAGCCCCTGAAAACATGGATTTATCGGCTCAGGAGGTTTCTGACGGGCTACAAACTCAGAAGGGGCTGATCTTGGATCAGTCACAACAGTTGCAAAGTCTGAGGTCCTTTTGACAGCCTGAACACAGACCATGAAACAGAGTTTATTTCAGCTGCCTTCAGCCTAGCAATTATTAAATGCAGTAGCTGATCTCACTGCCTGAACTCAAAAGAAAGGGCAGAGGTGCTGGGCCCTTCCACAGCTGGTGAGTTCTGCTGCTCCTTGATGCCTCTGAGTTTTCTGTTACCTCTGAAAGTGACATGACAAGCACAGCAAATTTTGCCTCTTGCTGCAAGTGACAAATTTGAGTAGAAATGGTACCAAAACCGCCCACTCATCACTCCTGATTTTATTCTCATTGTTTCACCTTCTAAATGAATGAAACATTTTTGCTATTACAAAAACCTGAATGTTTTAAACTTTGTACTTATTTGGAAAATACATCCTGTACAAGAAAAAAACGTTGTCAGCTGTGTATTAATTATGTAGGAGTGTAAAACTAAAGAAATGCTATCTCAGTCTGTTTATAAAATTTGTTTTGAGCTACTTGATTACACAAGCATTTTTCATCCTTCTTTGTGCTCAAAAGTTCAGTCAACACTGATCCTTTTTCAGCATGACAGTACTGTAAAAGTATTCATGTCTCAGGGTTCTTCCTTTCCTCACAGTAATTTTACCTCATTGCTTAGGAATTAATTTAGCTCCTCTCCTGCTCTGCACAATAATGGTCTGTGTATTGCTGCACAAATCTAATGCCAGGTGTTTGCAATAGGCCTAGGGGTTTCACACATGTCCCTAAAAGGGACAATGAAAAATTCTGCAAGTAAAAACTTCCAAAGAGAGAGTGATGTGAAGAACAGAGTGAGTGATCCAGCTCCTCCTTCTCATGCAGCAGGGGGAAAGCCAAGTAGAGACCTTGATTAACCTCTTCTATTTTGTAGCCTGAAGTCTTTATTTTGAATGCTGTGCAATCACTATTTACCAACCTTCCCTTGATTCTACACCAAAGAGGAAGAAGCAAACAAGGGACTTGTCAAGTTGTCTTCCCTGAAAAGACTCTTCACATGCAGCCTGAGGCTGTCACTCTGTGTGCTTGCCTTCACTCCAGGGAATGACATAGCCTGAAACTTCTGCTCCTTCTGTTTTGTTTACAAATAAATGATTCCAAGCTGAGAGAGCAGAAAAGGGGATAAATATGAGCCAGGGAAAAACATGTCAATGAGACTCCAATGACTGGCAGATCCTTCTAGGTCCTTGCTTTACACCATAACTCTCAATGCAATTCCCTGCTCCAGTGCTTCCCCACACTGTCTTTTGCAGTCATCATGAGAGACCCATGTGCTGTATTAAAAAAATCCATGTCTGGTCCAGATGCTGCTTGCCACACCAGTCTTGGCTTGAAGTCAGGCAGCACCACCACAAAACGGGCCAGAATGGCTGCACACTGCTGTGTTATTGCAGAAGAGACACCACCAGCAGCATGTCCTAAGTACAGACAAAAATTTCATCTCAGTAAGCTGTCAGTAGTTTCCAGAAGAGCTGGACTAAAGCTGCAACAGCATAAACTCCCATGTATAAAGGCAGAGGTAAAATTAACCTGCCTTTGCACAGGACTGAGGGAGAGGGAGCCCAGATGGCATCCTTTGGGCAGGGTACCAGCTTTGTCATCTGCTAATGTGGCTCTGGAACACAATCATCTCTGCGAGACTTCCCAGCGCTGCAGATCCACTTCGTTTACACGTGCTGGTCACAGCCCAGGGTAGCTTTTCTCTGCCTGGAGACAGGGACTCCACCAGCGATTTCCAGCTCAAGAAAACGCCTCGAAAGACGTGAGAAGAGGGACGGCAGCCTCTCCTGTGCCGTCTCGCCCGGGTGGGTGGTTCAGCAGCCCCGCGGTGCCACCCGCTGGCAGCGCCGGTCCCGGGGAAGGAGCTGGAATCCTGCTCAGCCCTTCCCTCCCTATGCGCCTGCCCTCGGGCCTCCTTTCCTGCTGCATCCCTGCTCAAAACCACTTTCCTGCTTTTCCCTCTCTCTTTCAGCACTGGGCTGTCAAATCCCGTTTCTAATTAGCAGCTCCTGATCACACTCTGGGAAAGGACTTCCAGGGCTCCTTAGCTCACTTTGTTCTTCCTAATAGGATCTGCTGCAGCTGTATTACTCCTGACACATTTGCATCCACAAGCAGAAATTAAGGAGGTGCCTCCCAGCCTGCTAGAGCTCTCCTGTGATAGCTCATGAAGTATTCCAGCATCCCTCTTCACACCCAGGAACAGCCCCCAGGTGTGAACACCTCAGTACCCAAACCCTGCAGCACAGGGCAACACTACAGGTCTTCACAACGCTGCAGTTTGTCTTGTGAAATACAAAGGAGTGCTGTGATAATTCTTTTGCTGATTTTTCTCCCTCCCAATCCTCAGTGTGGAGGTGTGGGGGTGATCCAGCTCTGTCAGCAGATGACAGATGCAGCCTTGGTTGTATGTTCATTTTCAGTAATATCAACAGAGGAAACACTGAGGAATTATGTCATATTTAATGGATGTGTCTAAGCAAGATAACATGATACAATAAATTATGGCACCAAGGATGAGGCTTTTGCTTTAAAATTATCCTTCAGCTAGATTACTAAAAGAGAGTTCATCCTTGTGCCAAGATACAGCATGAAGCCTATATGCTGCTAAATCATACCTAAATTGCCTCTTATTATAGAATTACACTGCTCCAGCCACACAATTGCTGGATTTATATGTTTCCCTTCACTCATTTGTCTTGATAAAGCTTTTTTACTTCTGGATTTACTCTGATAACTTGGACACTTGCCTGAGACTATCTCACAAATCCCTATCTGGCTTAAGTTACACTCAAGAGAAGTTTGGAAGCATCCATCCATCTCTTTGGAAACTCATTGAAGACACAAGTGTCTGATAATTTGTGTGTCCATAATTTAGGCTTTGAACTGGGATGAATTTCTTCCAGGTTAGATGACCACTGTATGAGTAGTTATTAAAGCCTCCCGTTGTAAGATTCTTTACATCAGTTTATTCATATATACAACCCCCTCCCTCCTGGACTTTTAGAACTTCCAGAGAAATCACTACGAAAAACAAAATTTCAATGAGTGGGTTAGATTAGGGACTACAATTTCCACAATATTATTTATTCATTTGATTTCTTGTATTTATGACTTCTTAAGTTTTGATGGTTTAATCATATTCTGCTATTTTCACTGCTCAGGCTTTCAGGGGAGCAACAAAAGGCTGGAGGCATTTAATTTCTTTCTCAGCTGGATTTAGAGATCCTCTCACACAGTTTTCTGTTAGTGTGTCCACCTTGATCAAAATCAGAGCCCTTGACTGCTAATTACAGTGACTTATGACACTTTCTTTTGTATTAAGGGACACAATGTCATCTCACTGAGACTTTTGCTACCTGGCAGGGAGAGCCTGCCAGATCATACTCCAATCCTGTGTCAGTATTTTTTCTCCCCATACAAATACACTCCTACACATGCTAAAATTACATTTAGTTTTTTATTACCCTAGAACTTCTTTTGAATGAGACTTAAGACTACAAACAACTTGTTTTTAATTTTAGATCTCCCACTAGTAAAACTTCCCTTTCCCTGGTGATTTTTTTTCTTTTCTAGCTTGAAGAGGCTACTGCTGTTGTGCCCTGGGAAGAACAGTGATGTATAGGTTATTAGGATAGCAGCTTAAACACATAAGCCCTTGACTGCTAAAGGACATTACAGGGCAATAGTTGATGGCTAATGGATTCCTGCTTGGTGCCCTTGGGGGCTTCCACTGCATTTTGGCCAATGGTAAATTATGGTGAAGAGTCAGCTGCCACTGGCATTTGAGTTGTCTGATGAG